GGGGGGAAAAGGTCACAGTTCAATCTCAGCTTCAACACAACCATTTGATTTTCATTTCACCACCCCTTCCTCAACTTTACAAATTCCACAAAATAGCATGGATGAAGACAAACATTCGAGGGGAGAAGAGTCAGAGTTTATCTTCTAAGTCACCCCACTCCCTCACCAGCACAGTCATGCCTGCCCTGCCCTCCTCAAATCTTTCCAGAGAAAATATCTGGCAGGGGGGCAAAGGAACTCCCACAACTTTTCACACTAGCAACATGATCTGTTTGCATGTCATCCATAAATTTCCAAAACCAATTCCTGCTAAGTGGTAGAGCTTGCCTATTAAAACAGGTCAAGGTTCAGAATTTCAGTAACACAGACTCAATTTCAGGGGAACCTTCATTGCCCCAAAAATAACACTAAGAGAAGAATGAATCTGAAGAAATACCTCAATTTTGTCAGAAGCAGGGTGCTGACTGAGTACCAGCTGGTCACATTCCTGCTTAAGCTTATTGAGTTCTTTCTCCTTAACTTCCAGCTGGCTCATGCGCTTCTGTAAAAAGACAAGGGCATCGCTTCAAACAGAACTTTAAAGAGGGGAAAGGTCAACATGTACAATGTCATCTCACTATTACTATTGTGAAACCAGTATTAAACCACTTAATTTATACGGTGTCTGAAAATTTTCCTGCCTTCATTTGTAATGTTGTCATCATAACAATGGTCTTATTGAACCAAGAATTAGACCACCATTTATGCCAATTCTCCTTCCACACTGTATCAAACAAGTCCAGCCCATTTTCATACAATCCACACAATCAGAAAGATAATCAAAGAGCAAATTAAATATTCACTAATGCCAGAAGGTTTCAGCATTACCTACTTTAAAAAATAAAAACAAACACATGATGCTACAAAATTAAATCCAAGGTTGGGCTAGCAGAAGTCCACTTGCATAATCAGAATTTCTTCTGCTCTCCTCTCCTCTCCTCTCATCCCTGTAGCCCTTCAGGACTGCCCCAAAATCTGCTCCAGAGTTTCCAGTACTTCACAGTTTGAGGGCAAGTAGGAAGACGGAAATCACACGTCATCCCCCCCACCCTCCCCTGATGGAAACAGTTTTGAACTAGAAGGATGTCACAGGACCCAAGCTTACTGTCTACAAGTATGGGCTCTTCTAATTTTTTTATTTGTGTGTTTCAGTAACTCACGGAGAACGCTTCCTGCTTTCTTGCAATATCAGTGTTTCTATCACTCCAGTCATAGAGAAGCTCCTCCTCCTCACAGTCGTTGATCCACATGATTTCCCTGCTGGTTGCTTGGATGATGTTTTGCAACTGGCGCAGCTGATCCATTCTTTCAAAGGAGAATCTCTACAAAACATCACCACCAAAGTAATGAGATCCTTTAATTTAAGGACCAAAACAGTGTGGAAGGTCTGAAACTAAAAATGTGGCACAAACAAAAGAAACAGGAATGGAATTGGCAGTTAATATTGTTATCTGGCCACATGCAGGCTCTGGATTTGCTGCAATGATAAAAGGAAGTCAGACTTCTTTAACATCTTCACAAAAAACACAACTTATTCTGATTTTGCTAGTCACGGGGAAAGACAATTTGCCACAAAGGGTGATCTCACAAAATATTGTCCAAAAGTTTCCAGATACATTTATATAGTCATATTAAGGGCTAGTGTGTTATTTATTTCAAAGGAAAATGTAAGAACAGTCAAGTCCCAGTACCAGTGGATTGGACAGGATCCGTAGTGCTTCAAAGTTGTGGCAGAAAAAGTTTTCTACCCAAACAATTTATAATGATAGTCCTATTCAGGCATTCTCTCTACATTTTAAGTCATGATGGATAGAGAGGAGTGCTCTAGTGGGTCCCCATTGTTCTTGCTCTCCTATGCACACAGAGTGCCGACTATGAAAAAAGAGAGCTTCTTCACCTATCAGGATTCTTCCCATAAGTTAGAATGTAGGAGCAGCTTGAAAAAGAGTCAGGATGTCTGCACAGAGCTCTACAAATCTGATAATTAGGAATCTACTTACCACATTAATATATTGCCTCCCCCACCCGCCCAAAAGCTCTTTTATCCTCATGATGACCCTGTGGGTTTGAGAGATAGTGGATGCATCAAGATTGCTTACTGAGGTTTATGGCTAAGTGGGGGGATCTGAACCAAGGTCTCTCCTGTGCTAATCCAACTCTCTAACATACTATTAAGTGGGATGTACCCAAACAAATACTGCTCAAGAAACCCAGACTAATCCAGCTGGAGACCAAGATGGAAGAAGTGTTAAGCAGAAATTAGGTAGCTTCAGCACACATAGTTACTTCTATTTAAATTTGCATAGAGGAGGAAATGGAGTTCAAATAATTATTTTCTGGTCCAACGCCAGAGCTCTGATATACAGTGGTGCCTCACTTAACGAT